AATTCATTTTAAATATCAACGAACACCCGTTGCTATTTCTGCATGATTCGAAATTTAATACAATGAAATATCAATGTTTATCCGTTGATATTATCAACGAAGTTCAAAATGCCGTTGATCTTTTCAACGATTTGTCGTTGATATGTTCATCTGCCAATCCAGGTGTCTTGAACTCGATGAAAATATCATTGGATATCCATTGATATTCAGAATATCAACGAAAATCTGTTGATTTTCTCTATAAATCAGCCGACGATTTTCTTTTCCCTCACTCTGAATCGAATTAAAAAAAACGAAGAACTAAACACTTCTCAACCTCTCTCGCAATGGTTTAATTTTTTCATTTTTTTCATATATTATATTTTATAAATTAATTATTTTTTAGTTATATTATATATATATATATATATATATATATGACTAATTAAATTTATTATTATAGTTTGCTACCAAATTTCATCGAGGTGGGAGATTGTTGGCGGGATCTGCCAGAGTGCCTCCACCACCATCACAATTGCCACTACCTTCTGATACATCGCCTGTGTTCTACGAGGATACTGATAACGCAAATCTAGGTGTAGAAATAATGCTCAAGTAATAAAGAATCTAGACACAGTGAATACCGCAAGGGTACGGATCGACTGTAATACCAGGGTCGAACACAGGGAATAGTTAACTTCAGGAACAAGACTCAACCAAGAATTAGATCAGCAAATATGGAATGAAGTATGTGAATATCAAAAATAAAGCAATAAAAAAACCATGTAAAATCAGATAACTAAACCACCGTAGCTTCGGGATAACCTTAACACGCATGGATTGTTTTTAAGGATAGAGAATCTACGAATATCAAACTCTAATCGGAGATCTCAAGTTCTAATATAAGATTTGGCTCTCTCAAATCATAAAATCCACTATCCAATAATTTAACCTATCGATCTCTCAACCTAATAAATTAAAATATCAAATGCATTATCGAACACTATTACGGTTCCTAAACCGATTAACCTATCTTTCAATAGTCTTAATCAATTCATTCAATGAATTCTTTCCGAATCTAATCTCAACTTTCGTTGCAAATCAGAATCCAAAATCAATCAATAACTGGTCAAGAAGATCAAAAGCAATAAACTCAATCCAATCAAACCGACGAGTATTGATAACGTAGTCTAGAAAAATAAAAACCAAACAAATCCCTACAAGGTTAAATGCCTAGCCACAGTGAAACAACTACTCACTACCTATAATAACAAACGAGTTCAAATGAATAAGAAGAAACATAGAAACATATAAAGAAGATTCGCAACGATCTCTCGACGACGGTTCTTCAATATCTGCTCCCGAGAAACTTCGTCTTGATTCTCTCTCGAGTTCTTTGGCTTCTGCTATGATCTCTCGATGACCTCTGAAGCCCAAGACATCCTTTCTTTATTGGCTTGGAGGCTCGATTTCTTCCTTTGCTGAAAACGGAAGTTCGGACGCAAAATTGAAAGTTTTCTCGTAAGACAACACGGTCCGTGTCAATTGTCTGATCAAATTTATGCGCTTCTGCAGGGGCTGAACACAGGCAAGCTGCAAGTTGACACGGGTGTGTCAAGATACGACATGGTCCGTGCAGATTGTCTGTAATAATTTTTTCGCTTCTTCACTTCTGCACGGTCGTGTTGGGGCTCGACATGGCCGTGTTTAGATACAACTCGAGCTAGATATGTCCTTAGTGTTCCGTTCCGATCCAATATGCTCCGAAATCCTCGATTATGCTCATCTGGTGCCCATAATTCATTCGTTACTTGTTCAACCACCAAAGAATGCAATGGAAACAACCTAGTCCTAAAATGATCCTAAATGTCTAATGGTGCACAAAACTGATAACTACTAGACAATGGGCCTTAAAATAGAGAGAAAAATCATGTTATCAGATACGATGCTCAACATCGAGGCAACACTGGATGCTTTCGATAGTCGCATCGTTCCCATCATCGATCCTAATCGCGATGATGGATTATAATATAATTATAATATTTTTGTGGTTTATTAACTAATCATTATATTATATAGGTTTGGGGTTAATGATGACCAGATTAATAGTGCAATGACCAGAATAATTACGGTTCGTATGTCTCCGTTGTATTATTCTTGGACCGTAGTATCAGAACACTTCGACGACAGTGGTGGTTATCTTTTATTGTAAGTATTAAAATATAATACAAATACGTTATAATCCAATTATTAAATTAATACTTATGTGTATGCATTTTTTTGTAGCAAACATTTCGATAGAAAAAATCAATCACCGATAGAGTTTCAAGTAGTTTAACTTGTTGGGGCAGATGAGGATCAAACTTCTCATGAGCAATGCAAAGCGGAAGTAAGACAAAAGGGAGAGTGATCATTGTGAGCGAGAGAAGACATCTTCAACGCTCTTTTAACGCGCTGGAGTTCAGATCAATTCAAATACAAGAGTAGAAAAGGCAAAGAGAGCGTCTAAGCCAACAAGTTGAAGGAGATGGTCCTCATCGTCACATTTTCAATGCCAAATCTTTCAGAAAACGGACGAAAGAATTGGTATTCATTTTAATTATATTTTTATTCGCTTATAATTATATATTAATTTATATGTTATATTTGTAGCAACGAGAAATGAGAAAAAAATCGTCCATCATTGAGTTGGTTGATCACACTCATAGACGTTCTGATGGTCGATTCGTCGATTTTCGAGATGAACGGATGTGGGGGCTTGTGAACGAGAAATTATCATAACTCACCCAAACAGCGGCTGTCAGTTTATCGTCTCACACCAACTTGTCTCCTATCGATCAAGACATATGTTATGTTCTCAAATTTGTTTATTCAAATTTTAAATTATATTATTATTGATTTAATAATTATATATATAATATGTATTATTTTGTAGTCTGTTCAACGGAATAAATGCCGCATCTACGGTTTAGGATGTCTCCAAAGAGATTTGCTGGAAGATTTTGGATCACCAGTTCATCCGGGTGTAGATCAATACCTACCAACAACGTCAGATAGAGCAATTTGAACGATCGCTCCAACATCAGAAGGAACAGACGGAGCGGCAGATGGTGGAGTAACAAGGGAAGATAACTAATCTCAAATAAACGATCGAGCTGCTTAGAGGAGTTCATCCTCCACCTTTCTTCTACAACTCCTTCAGCCAGCGGAACCTCCAGCGGTCGAACTCTTGGAACGACCGAAGACGAAGAAACTGGAAGTTTGAATTAGTTTTCGGTTATTTATTTTTATATTTTATGTCGGACCTGGTTTAATATTTTTAAAATATATATTTATATTTTTAATTAATTTATATATTTATATAAATATATATGAATTATATTATATAAATATTAATATATATTATATAAAAATATATAAATGCATAAATATCAACGGATGTCCGTTGATAACACCGTTGATATTATTCACGAAACTTTCCACCAATCATAGTCGTTGCAAATTTGCAACGGTTTGTATCAACGAAAAGTTCATTGAAAATATGCAATGAAATATATCAACAGAATTCCATTGTTAATGTCAACGGAATTTCCGTTGCAAATCCGCACAGAATAGAGTCGTTGAAATAGTGTTGAAATTATCAACGGATTGTAACAGAATTCAAATTTCAACGACCAAATTGCAACGGGTCTCGTCTGTTGAAATCATCGATTTTCAACGGATATTTGGGTGATTTCAACTGAAATATTCGTGGATATTTGGGATTTTTTTTGTAATGTTTTGAAAAGGTAATCCTAATCCGATAGCTATGCGGAAATGATCATTATTATTTGTTTTGCTTTAAAAAATGGTTTTAAGTTAAATATGGGATATTGAGTGGTTTTAAAGTCTGCAGTCATTTTAAAAAAATTAAACAGAAGAAGTAAAAAAATGATCTTATTTGGTTGATTGTAAATTGTGATTGTTTTTTATTTAATTATTTGATTATTTATATTGGATATCGAGACAGATTTATAGTCGAAACCACATTTGATATATTCACATAACTCACCTTTTTCTTTTTTCAAACAAATGAAAGGTGAAACAAATCATATGATTGGACTTGTTAGTTGCTAAGAAATATGAAGATTTACATTTTCAATTTATGAGTTTAGTATTTTAGATTTATGTTAATTAATTTCATGATTTGATATTTTCGTTGTAGATATGAGATGATTTTGATTCTAAATAAACTAGATTTGTTTAGAGTGCAAATTACAATTCAAGTGTTATGTTTTTTTGGTTGGAAGTGAATTCCACTGTTATGTTATATCGGATTTGGGTTTCAAAATTATATTCTAGATTCGTAGCTTTATTCAAAAGATATTATTTTTATATGTTTTTGTGATAGTCAGTGACATTAATTGTTTTATTTTACCGACTTAGTTGTTGAAAATTAATTACATAGTCTAACTAACAACTAATCCATATTAATTAATTAAATTAATTAATTAATCCAATTAATTGTTTAGTTGATTTTTTCAACAACACAAATCGCAAATTAAGATTCGGTTCTTATTGATATATACACTATTAGACAACAAAATCATATCACATGTAAACGGCAATACTGATTTATTTTCAAGAATTATGAAAACATGCATCACATTTAATAAACAAATATTTATGTCCTCGAAAACTACGTCTTTAATAGTATTATATCAAAAATAATTATTTTGTTATTTTTATTTCAACACATATTCTTCTCCAACGGTAACCATGTGATCCATGTGACTCAAAATATAGTATGGTTACATTTTAATTTTATTGATTATAATGTTAAATTTATGTTGATCACACTAATTCAATATATTTATATCTTGTATATCTTACTAATTATTTGATTAAAACATCATAAATTTAATGTTATGAAGAATGAGATCAATATGTGACCACACTATATTTCGGGTCGGGTCAGATCTTCACAGTTGGAAAGGATATGTGTTGAAGTCAAAAGTAAAGGTATTTTTGAGAATGTCCTTTCTTTCCGACTATAAATGCTTCTTCATCTGCCAAGAAAAAAAAAATCATGCACACAATGTCTCCCTCAGCTCTTGCGCTAATCCTCTTGGTCCTCCTAGCATCCTTCAGTTTGCTTTTCCGAGCTTTCTCACCATCAGAATCTTCTAGAAATTTCAAGAAACTTCCTCCAGGTCCACGTGGCATGCCGATCGTCGGACACCTCCACATGTTGGGGAAACTCCCACACCAAACCCTAGCTCACTTGGCCAAGAAGTACGGACCCATCATGTCCATCCGGCTCGGAAGTGTCCGGACCATTGTTGTCTCGTCTCCGCGCGCCGCCGAGCTTTTTCTCAAGACTCACGACAACATTTTTGCAAGCCGACCTAAAGCTCAAGCCCCCGAGATCATGTCGTACGGGACCAAGGCCATGGCGTTGCAGCCGTACGGTCCGTACTGGAGAAATGTACGGAAATTATGCGTAGTACATCTGCTAAGCGCGTCCAAGATCGAGCAGTTTAAACCCGTCCGGACAGAAGAGATTGGTCTGTTGATGAATCATCTGAAAATGGCGGCGGAGAAGAATGAGGTGGTGAATGTCAGTAAAATACTGGTGGAGCTTCTAGAGAATTTGCTGTATAGACTGATTTTGGGACGCGGTAAAAACGACGACGACGACGTGAAGCTTAAAGAGCTTGTGGAGGAGATTGTGTCTCTGACGGGAGCTTTCAATATCTCCGACTATTTACCTTTACTTGCGCCATTAGATCTTCAGGTAGGTCCATTAATTTTATTTGTTTATTTTATTTTATTTTTTTATTTGTTTACTTGGGCATATTAATATTTTCGATATATATTTTTTCCCCTATTGTGTCGGCAGGTGGGATAATGGAATTGTGGGTGGTGATGTTTTTCTAAATATCGGTTTTTTTTTCCTGGAGAAAACTGTTTTTCCTCAACTAAAGAATCTTCAAAGATCTTTCTGGTGGAACATAAACTTGTTGTTAATATTTTGTGCTCTAGAAAAATGTGTTCAAAGAGTTTAGAATTTTGTGTTCAAATAATTAAGTACTTAGACTATATTTATTAGTAGTTCTAGAATGATCTATGGTGTAGTATATATATGGGTTGTTTGACGTTTGTAGAATAACAACAAAACACAAGAAAAGAAATACAAAGAAGTGTTTACGAGTATTTCTCCTCCTCTCTTCTCGTTCATATATACTTATAAAGTATAAAGAAAAAAAACCTAAGCACTTACAAGTAGTATCAGAGCCGGGATATCATGGCGTCAACGAGTTCGATCCAATCACAAGTTCCGAAACTTACGAAGGACAACTATTGTATGTGGAGCATTCAAATGGAGGCGCTCCTAGGGTCCCTTGACGTATCGGACATGGTGGAGAACGGTTATGATGAGACGGAGACGAAGAATGAGAATAACGAGGAGAAACTCAAAGATCTTCGAAAGAGGGAGAAGAAGGCGTTATTCACAATATATCAAGGAGTTGATGAAGTGACGTTCGAGCTTATTGCCTCGGCGAAAACATCCAAAGAAGCTTGGGAAATTTTGAAGAAATCACATGAAGGAGTTGACAAGGTGAAGAAGATTCAGTTGCAATCTTTACGATCACAATTCGAAAGTCTACAACAAGGGAGTTCCGAGTCGATCTCGGATTACATTTCACGGGTAATCACCATCGTTCACCAAATGGCGACAAATGGCGAGACGTTGAAGGATGTTCGGGTCGTGCAGAAAATTTTGAGGTCTCTTGACTCAAAATTTGATTTCGTGGCCGTTGTGATTGAAGAATCAAAGGATCTAGATATGATGAGGTGGAAGAACTTCTTGGTTCTTTGAAAGCGTTTGAAGATAGACTGAATCGGAGAAAAAGAGAAGAAAAATCCGTTGAGCATGCGCTAGAAGCGAAGCTCTCTTTGAAGACCGAAAAATCGAGAGGAGATTATCAACACCGAAGAGGAAGAGGTGGAAATTACGGATGAGGAGGTTATGGACCAAACTATCGGATGCCGGCAAACAATCAAAACGATGATGGAGAAAATAATATAAACGAGTATGATCATGGCAGAAGAGGTGATCGAGGTCGAAGTTGGAACCGAGGCCGTGGTCATGGATTTGGAAGAAATAATGGAGGAAGGTATGACAAATCCGGAACCCAATGTCATATTTGTAAGAAGTTCGGCCATTTCTTATATGATTGTTGGCATAATCCCGATAACAATGGTGGAAAGAAAGCTAATATGGTGGAAAAAGAAGATGATGATGCAGAACAAGTGCTGATGTTATCCCAAAATGAGGTCGGGCCAAGCAATGAGTCGGAACCATTTGTTACATGGTTTATCGACATGGGAGCATCTAATCATATATGCGTAAGAAATGAGTTATTCACAAAGCTTGACGAAAGAAGTTTTGGCAATATCACGTTTGGTGATCGTTCAAAGAGACCGATAGAAGGGAAAGGTGTTATCACGCTGACCTTCCAAAACAAGAGACATGTTTGCATCTCCAACGTCTATTATGTTCCGATATTAAAAGCAATTTGTTGAGTGTAGGCCAGTTGTTAGAGAAAGGTTTTGACGTAAGGTTGAAGAATATGTCTCTAACCATGCGAGATAAATATGGCCAATTGATCACGACCGTGGAGATGACGAAGAACCAAATGTTTCCATTGAGGCTAAGCTTTAATGAGTCGAGGTGTTTGAAGGTAACGACTCTAGATAATTCAACTTTGTGGCATCTTCGGTATGGACATCTAAATTTCAAGGCATTAGAATTACTTCAGAAGAAGGATATGGTGATTGGGAAGTCATGGAGCGCAGCATGTCCCCTTGAGCTGGTGCATTCGGATGTTTGTGGACCCATCAATCCCACATCAAATGGAGGTTATAATCGATATTTTCTGACATTCACTGATGACTATAGTGCAAAGACGTGGATTTATATGCTCAAAGAGAAAAGGGAAGTTTTTACCAAATTCAAAGAGTTCAAGAGTATGGTGGAAAAACAAAGTGGATGCCCAATCAAGTACTTGCGGACTGATCATGGAGGAGAGTATACATCAAACGATTTTGAGAATTTTTGTAAGGAACACGGGATTTCTCATCAGCTCACTATGCCTCAAACACCACAGCAGAATGGAGTTTCAGAGAGGAAGAACAAGACTATACTGAATATGGTCCGATGTATGCTTAACGAGAGAAAAGTCCTTAAGGAGTTTTGGGGAGATGCTATTGCATGTGTTGTTTATTTTGTTGAACAAATTTCCATTGAAGAAAATCAAAGACATGACACCGGAGGAAGCTTGGAGCTTACGAAAACCGAAGGTTGATCATCTCAGAATCTTCGGGTGTGTGGCATATGCAAAAGTGCAGGAAGAAAGGCGAACAAAGCTTGAAGATAAAGGTCATAAATGCATATTTTTGGGTTATGGTAAAAATTGCAGGGGATACAAGCTGTATAATCCCGAAACTCGCAAAATCATAATGTCTCGAGATGTTGAGTTTGATGAGGAGAAGAGTTGGGATTGGAATGGTAGCAGTCAATCGCAAAGGATCATTCTCGAAGAAGTTGAGAAAAATTCACCATCTCGAGTTATCCAGAACCGTTTTAATAGCGGCGATTCTAGTAGCTCACCCGTGAGAAAGATGAAAAGCATTCAGGAGATTTATGATCCAACTCAACCGATAGAATCCATGTTTGATGATGAGTTTATTAATTTCTGTCTATCTATTGGATTTGAAGAAGTTAACAGGAAGAAGAAGTGGATCAAAGTGAAAGATAAGTTGAAACCCTTTCGGAAGAAGCTCAGAGTCAAAGCTCAAGGAGGAACAAATTTAAAGGGGAGTTCTGTTGGAACATAAACTTGTTGCTAATATTTTGTGCTCTAGAAAAATGTGTTCAAAGAGTTTAGAATTTTGTGTTCAAATAATTAAGTACTTAGACTATATTTATTAGTAGTTCTAGAATGATCTATGGTGTAGTATATATATGAGTTGTTTGAAGTTTGTAGGATAACAACAAAACACAAGAAAAGAAATACAAAGAAGAAGTGTTTACGAGTATTTCTCCTCCTCTCTTCTTGTTCATATATACTTATAAAGTATAAAGATAAAAAGCCTAAGCACTTACACTTTCTACTGAAACTTTACATATTCTTTGTAATTAACTTTTGATATTATACTAGTATGTTCATGGGTAATATAAATAGTTTTTCCGTGTTTCGTTCAGTTATAGTATTAGGCTATTAGCATATAGTTCTTTTTTGCACGATTTTCCTAATTTTTATTTGTCATTAGCAAATTAGGATATGGAAAATAATCGAAGAAAATAAAAATATGCGTAATTTATCTTCATCACTACATATACATATATATATATATATTTGACTGGATCATATATATATATATGTACACAAGTTTATTGGACAAATTTTGTTTTTTTGTTTTTGTCAAAATGATACTTTCTTTTTATTTTGATTTTCAGTACCTAATCATGTTGTACTCGCATAGTTATGGTGTTCTTGCGCAAATAATAAGATCATTATCATAACAGACGTTTTGATGTCTTATTATGTGTGTGGTTCAGGGCTTAGCTCGGAGGATGAGACACTTAAGCAAGTCAATGGACATAATACTTGAAAATATCATTGAAGAACATGAACAACAAAACAGGGATCATAAGTCCAAGGACCACAAGGACTTCGTGGATGTACTTTTGTCTTTGCTGAATCAACCCATGAACGAACAAGATGAACATTCAGAAATAATTGGTCGGACCCATGTTAAATCGATACTGCTAGACATGGTTGCAGCAGCACTAGAGACCTCTGCAACGGCGATCGAATGGATCTTCTCAGAGATCTTGAAGAACACCCGAATCATGAAAAAGTTACAAGACGAGTTAAAAAATATCGTCGGGATGGATAGGATGGTCAACGAGACTGATTTATCGAAGCTCACATATTTGGACATGGTTATAAAAGAAGGGTTTAGGTTGCATCCTGTTGCACCCCTCTTGATTCCTCACGAATCCGTGGAAGATGTTGTTCTTGATGGATTCTACATACCAAAAAAATCTCGAGTCTTGGTTAATGTCTGGTCCATCGGACGAGATCGTGATGTGTGGGGAGACAACAACGAAGAATTCAATCCCGAGAGGTTTGAGAACGACGATATTGATATTAATGGCTTAGATTTCAGGCTTATTCCTTTTGGTTCCGGACGAAGAAGATGCCCCGGTATGCAGATGGGATTGCTAAATTTAAGGCTTGTTATAGCTCAATTGGTTCACTGCTTTGATTGGGTGTTGCCGGTTGGAATGGTTCGCGAGGAGCTTGACATGAATGAGAAATTCGGTTTGACAGTTGGAAGAGCAAACAATGTGTTTGCCACACCAATCTATCGATTGAACTGTTAGAGATTATTGTATAATCAAGCATATGCATATGTATCAACGTCAAAGCACGGAAACACGACCGATCCAGACATGTTTCATAACTTTATTGCTTTCCTCATAGGTATGTTTGGAAGCACTCGGTCGTGTGTCTGAAAGTGAACTGAGTAGAAAGAAAACTAGGAAACGTCTATGAGCGTCCGAGGGTTTAGATTTTCGAGATAAAGAAAGAACCGGAGATTGAAACGGTGAGGCAGTAACCTGAGGCTATTAATGAACCACGTACGAAAACCGACTCAGCTTGTGTTAAAAAAGTTGGAAGCAACCAACAGCGGTCCGTCCAAGTGGCAAGCGGCTTGGATTCGCTTAAGCAGATGTCGTGTTCGAGACTTGGCATATGCAGACAATTCTGTTGGGAGACTCACCCACCATAACCAGGTGCGCGACCGAGTCGGGTCGGGTCCGGATTAGTCGGGGCGATGCTCCGGATACCGGGCGGGTAACCAAAAAAATGTGGGAAGCACGTCGGATGCCTTGGATTTGTTCAAGGCATACGATAGCAAGATCAATGTGTCGAATGCCATCGTTTACGAGATCCTTACACACTAGATAAACACAATGAAGAAAGTGTGAGCTGTTGTATTTTACCGGTGCAAAACTCTTATGGTGGTTTGCTTTACTAGAGTCCCCTGTAGTCACATGATGACATGATTGACGTCTAATTTATCAAAAGATATAAAGAAAATCTGAAAAGATGATATAATATTTAAGTAACGTAGATGTGATTTTATATTTATATTACTAGATAAGATATTGTAAAATTCTACTTCCTATCTATAGATATCTGTAACTATCGCAACATAAAATTTCATATTGAATAACAAAAAAAAAATCCAACTTTCGGTAAAACGGTTCAGATTTTCACTCCACTCTAAACCAAGTTTTATTTTTTATTCTTCGGGTGGTTTAACATGACACGATTCGAACAATTCATGTATTATTTTAGAAAAATTAAATTGAAAAGATTAATTTTTTTTAAAGATTTTCTCCATAGACAATGCAGTTAAATTATTTTTAAAATAATTAATATATTCTCTAGTCCAAAATGCACCGTGAATGAAAACAGAGCAGAAGAGAAAAAAACACAGTTCACACTAAAAACACCTACAAGTTTACATCAGAAAGCGGCCCAAAAAAAAGGGAACCAGAAGAACCAGTTCAATTTGCATGGTGTTTTGCAAAAGCCACAAAGAAAAAACGAAATTTACCTGAAAGAATCGATCAGCAAAAACAAAAGACGCTGAATTTTATCAGACAAGTGAGGATGAAGCAGTTGCGAGCGAAAACGAACTGGACTTCTGTTTCTTGTATTCGTTGTAACGCAGGAAGAAGTAACCCAGGTAATCGAATTCTATAGGTGACATCCTTGCCTGTTTCACACAAGCACTTCGGTTATTCTTTTGTTTTGTTTTTTTTTTTGGTTTGCAATGTCGATGTTAACTTCGTTAAGTGATGCTTTAAAACGTACCTGGATGAGTGCCCATGTTGCCCAGTACAAATGGGATGCTAGTTTGTACACTTCTGCCTCGATGTGGAGCGATTCCAACTCTGCTTCCGGCACCTGTTTCCCCGAAGGAAAAAAAAAAGATCAATATCTCAGTAGTATATTTAGTCGCTAATACTTGGTTTTCCTATCAATCTATGAACCGAAATACAGCATAGACCATACTTTGTTTGTTGTGTTAATCAGCTGATATATCATAATACACCGACCTATCAGGAAATGAAGAAAAGCATTCCGATGTTTTCTTACCTCATGTGGATTGTTTGGCCGTAGATAGTGCCTGAAGAAATGGTATTGTTCTTCTTTACTTGGGTATCTGCGTGAGCCATGACACCGAGTTGTCAGTATGCTGCAGTTTAAAAGAGGAAAATTTCTTGAAACTCCTCTAATAAAGAAGCAGAACGTACAAGCTGTAATCACAGTCGTATCCTGCATACTCATTGAAGTGATTCCCAATGTCGAAGCCTCTATAGTTGTATGATCCATACTCGAAATCAATCAAGTATAGTCTCTCTAAACATAGGTAGTGCAAAGAAACAAGTCAGTTAGAGAACAAATTCAAGCAAAACATTGGGGTAATACAATAGATGTGTAAGGAAAATCAAAGCGAGGTTTGCGGCTTTTAGACGTCATTGTTCTCCACGTCTTGAAGACCATAAAACTTTACTGGTTAAAGCAAATGCAAGATAGGACTTGACGTTACATTCTCGTTTACGAAATGCACCATATTAGTACGCAATAGAAGAAAACATTCATATGATCAATACATGAAAACTAGTAGGTACCTGATATAGGCAATATCATTGGAAAAAAAAAATAGGAATTTTCTTACCTTCTTCGTCATTCAGCATCAGATTTCCAGAAAGCAAATCATTATGAGAAAACACCACAGGTGCATTAAGTTGGACTGTGAAATCCTGTTCATTTATAGGAACATAATTTCAAACCCAGAAACCGGAAAATAAGGTCTAACAAGCACAACAAATCACACATAAGGATATACTGCAACGAAAAGCTTTAGAAGAACACTGAACAGGTTGTCCAACAGGACAATACGCAAAGGACAAGGTCTCCCCTTAAGATTATATTACTTTAGCATTGATCAATTGGCCACATTTGAGAACATTGTGAAGGTTTGCATGAAATGAAGGATCAGATGACTTTCACAGAGTTCTTTAACCAGAAAGATTGTTAGCCTTACTTGTTGAATTGTATGGATAATCTGGTAAACCAAGATGGCGCAAAAAACAATCCAAGAAGGATTCCCCGAGCAATGGTTTCTAATAGCAGAAATAGAGCACCATATGATCTTAGGAATGAAAGCCAAATAAATCTTTATGGAAAAAGAGGATTACCCTTAGCTCAAGAATTTCTTTCTGCAGATCCTCAAATGAAATTGTCTCATATAGTTTCTGCTTATCAGCATCATCAAAGGTAAGAGTAGATGCTGCATTTAAAGGTTCAACAGATACATGGAACAACATGTAAGAATTAACAGGATTTAAGGCAGTAGAAGATCTAACATTTATGAAGGAAACGTGATTATGACAACCAGTAGTTGTTTGAATGACAAATTGGCAGCAGATAGTCAAACAAATAAAATAAGAAAACAAGAATAAAATCGAGAAAGAAAAACAACAGTAGATACCTTTCTCGAAGAACTTGAAGATGTCAATCCACAATTGAGGTTCTTCAGAACCTGGTATTTTCACTTCATGAAATTTGCGTAGCTGTTTGGCAATTTCCGCTGCTATCTTCGGTTTTCTCATGTCTGCCCACAACGGAAGAGGAAATGAGATCCATTAGAAGCTACTTGACTTTTCCGTAATCCTTTGCTTTAAAGAGATAAAACAAAAATGTTAGAGAGTCCTAATATTATAGATATTGTCCAGCCGTTGTAGTGAAGGGCTTTACATAACTTATTGCTGAATCTTAAAAAGTCTACATCCTGCCATTTTCTAATCTTAAGATGTATGCCAGACAACCCAGACCAATGAAAAGAAAATATTTCTTATAAAAGATCATTATGTCCAACTCCAAAGTTCTGGTTACCTGATGGTTCTAGGGTGCGAGCATTAATGAAGGATTGCACCATTCCATTTCCAAATACACCAAGCAACTTGGCACCAAAGCCTGCAGCCGAGAGATACTTGATGGCCTAATCAAGATGTAAAACAAAATACAGAGAGAGACGCATGATAAAACTTCAAATGATGCAAAAGCAGATTTAAAAAAACCAACAAGGAAACCTTTGTTATTTCAAGATAAACTGAGCAGAAACACTGTCATTTTTCTCTTTTAAGAATCATGCTGCAATTTTATGCAAATTTGGAGCTATATCACCAGAAAAGCAACCTACCTAACACAGAACGCGTTGCTTAAAACAAAAGGTTTGATATAGATCCATACAGACAGATATGGCCCAGTGACACAGATAGAGGTAGGGAAGCTATCATATGGTCAAATACAAGAGAAGAGTATCTAATCACCTGAAGTTCCCTTTCCCGATTGATAACGTACTCCGTGTTAGGCCCATACAATCTCACTGTTATAGACACCTCTTTTCCAGCTTCTTCACTTACAGAAACCTTCAACACTGCCATCATTAAAAGACTGACTTAAAACAAGATCGTAGCCAATTCAAGGATCCGATATAAGTTTCCGTTAGATTATCAAAAGCAGAGAAATCAACCATCTAGTTATAATGAGTATTGAAATGTTATACTTTTTGTTATGTTAAATTATTTTGTGGTTTTCCTTCCCAATAAGAGAGGCTTAACTAAATGAAGTAACTCACGCAGATTTGTGATGCCACCTGAAACTCTCTCGACAGAGAAGAGAGAATCATCAAGCTCTTCCCACTTCTTGAATACATCTTTGCATAAGGCTCTATTATATGTCGAAAACACAATGTGAAAAGGATACGAGGCAATTAGAAACACAAAGCACAAAAAAAAACATACAGTATTTTTCTTCTCAATTCAGAAACAATTGTTGAGCCAGATCATAAAGAAAATAAAATGAATGATCAGCAACAAAAGAACTACGCACGGTTTCATCACTTCCATGACAATGAAACTTTGGCTTCCTGAGAATTGTGTTTACGAAGTTTTACAACAAAATTCTCCAGACCCAAAATCAAAGAAGACATCAAAACAGAAAGAGACCAGATGTACAATGATACTCTTAATTTCTCTCTTGCTCTCGCTTATATTTTCATCAACACAACGGATTCTGTCGAAAAAAGTTCAAGACAAAGTTTTGCATAATGAAATAACAAAAACAAAAACCCTAGAAGCACTCAAGATCTAGCTCCTGCACTTACGTCATCTCAATTGTCCCTGAAATTTTACGAGAAACCGAATGTAATTGGAAATTTATCCTCATTTCTGAATCTTTTGAAGACAAAGCATAAAACTCGACCTACAAATTTCTACTTACACAATCCAAGATAGCGGGAAATCATATCAAAGCTGACAACAAGAAAGCAAGGAAACGAACATTTAGTAAAATTTTCAGGACTTTTCCGAAATTTGCACGGACGCCAAATATAAAAAAACGAGCTAGAAACTTCCACTTCGACGACGCGAAAGAAACAGCAATCGAATCAAATCTGGTGAAAAGACGAGCCAGAAAACGAACATCTCCGCGAAATATCCCCGTCTTCTCCAAAATTATCTCGGGAGCCAAACATCAAAACCTAGCTTAGATTCCTCCAGTTTCGCAATCCGAAAGCACAGGCAATCAAATCAAAGCTGGTGCAAAACAAAAACAAGAGATACGAACATAATACGAGGAGCCATGACGGACAGAGGTAGAGACGTATCGACGGCGAGCGAAGAAGAAGGAATCGCGGAGCTGTGATCGCCATTGCATTCGTCTCCGGCTTCCATTTTCGCCCAGATGTTTTTCGCAGCTCCCATTTTTTCTTGTGTCCTTCAGATTCTTTTTTTTTTCCTTCCGTCAAATTAGTTCTGTTTCCAGATATTTTCTCCCCTCTTAATACAATACTGCGCGGAAACCGTGAAGGGTGGATAATTTTGTTCAAATATATAAAATTAACGAGTCTACGTAAGAAATAATATCTAATGACGCATGAATCAATTAAATTAAATCTAATGATATAAAAAATCCTAAAAAATAATAAATTTTTAATAAAAGTAAAAAAAAAAACTTAATTTAACCATTATTAAACTAAAATACTAATGAATTGATAAATTTTACAAAAAAAAACCACAATATAACAAATGATTATATTTATTTTTATTTTTTATTTTCTCTCTTGGTAATTGTTTGAATTGAGCAATTCGTCAGTTGTCACATCAATAATGGTCAAACTTTTGAATTGAGATTTTCTTGCACGCTAATAATTTATTTATTCAGAATCAGTTGTTTTGTTCTACACTCAAACCGTCCAAATGAAGGAATGTTGTAATCATTTTTGTAAATTACAATAGTTTGGCCCACAATTATTAGCAAAAAAAATTCAAGGTAGTTTTTGTGAGATTATATGTTTTATCGTTTTTATTAATGTTTCTAAAAATGTTTTATATTTTAGTGTGTATATATATTAGACTATTAGTATATATTTTGTACTACACTCCTAAAAATGTTTTCGAGGGGTGGGTTTTGTTTTCCATACCTTGAATTCTATAATTTGATGTAGTGTAAAATATAAAATAGTTTATAAAATTTTATAAATATTTTGTAAATTCATCTAAAAAACGTATCATAAGATAACAAAGACACGTTCCACCCTTATCAACGTGGTCCTTATTCATTATTAAAGATATTAAATATACATTTTATTTCAATGAAATACTCATGACAAGATCATGTTCTAATTCCTTTTAAATTTTTTTTATAATCCGAAAATTCGTTGGATTTTTTATCCAATTAAACTGTTTAATGAATTTCTCTCTTCAAAAGGCGATTTAATATCTCTTATCAGTTGAACCAACTCATTTCCGATAATTTCCCCTAAATTATATTCTTATATGTTAATCTTCCGACGGCAGCGTGTGTTTTCCAAACCACTAACACGTGTTAGTTAATACATAAGAATAAACCTTTCACCTAACACATCTGATCTTTATTTCTTTGCATCAAATGTCCCCAACTCTAACTATAACCTCTACAAATCTTGTTTTCTTCGGTTGACAGTAGCCCCCTTTTTTTTATATAAATTTTCAAGTTGATAAAACTTCCCTTCTTAAAAATATAACAATTTAATATTTCAATAAATTTTATTACTTAAGTAAAACTGTCAGAATTCGAACTTTAATTTTTTTAAATCAAGATATATGCCTTTGAATTTTATTATCCAAGTTCTATTTCATGGCTAACTGGAATATGTATTAAAATTTTATATTTTAGTTATCATGGACTTATATTTTTACAGTTTATCATTCATATGTTTGTTTGTTTTTTTTCAAACCCGAACTCATACAAAAATCCACATCCACACGGTCAGTGAGCTAAAGATTTCAGTCCTTTAAATCTTGTAGGATCAGATTAACCTTCATTGCGTTCATGGGTCAGTGCACTAAACTTTAAAACTTAAAAGACTGAACTAAAAGATTAGTCCATTCTCATATAATAATTCGAACCCTTGACCTGTGGACCTTTGGTTATGAAATGTAATTGTATTTATAAATCAATGGGATTCCATATCGTATAAATAAACAAATGGATATTTTCGGGGTCTACTCCGTTCGAATTGAAAATACTGGCAGAATTTACTCAAATTTCGGTTTCATATTTTCAAACCGGAATGTTGTGGAGATACGGACGAGAGGAAACCATGGATGAGAGAAAGGGTTTTAGTTTCTGCAGGAGCGTGGAACGGCATCGTTTTGGGGTTCTGCCATGAAGAACGACATCGTTAGAGAAGAAGCGGCAGAAGCGGGTAAATATAAATAAATACTCGATGACAGGGAAAAAATAAGTGATTTCGGGAAAATCCCCGAATCCCAGATGAACTCCGATCGGTTTGAAAAACCCTGACCTTTCATGATGTTTTCAATCACCTGAGAAACTTTTCTGGATCTCGTGTGCCGAATCTCTTGATTGATCGTTTTTCTAGGGTTTTTCTTTTTTCTCTGTCGTTTGATTTCGTCCAAACATGGAAGGGAACAAAGACGACGCTTTGAAGTGCCTGAAAATCGGCAAGGATGCAATGGGGGCCGGAGATCGAGCTCGGGCTTTGAAATTCTTGACGAAAGCTCGTCGTCTTGATCCTAGCCTCCCGATCGGTGATCTCGTATCGGAGCTCGAGACTCAATCCAATGATCCAGAGGCGGAGAGTTCGTCTGGACACGTCGCCAAGGAGTCGCCAATGGCGCCGGATCGGCCTTCCTTGCGGCAACGTGGACCGGCGGCTTCTGCGGCTGCGGGATCATCATCATCGCCGGCATCGGCATCGGCTTCGGCTTCTTACACTGAAGAACAGATCGCGATCGTGAGACAGATAAAGTCGAAGAAGGATTATTACGAGATTCTAGGGTTAGAAAAGAACTGTTCAGTGGAAGATGTGAGAAAGGCATATCGGAAACTCTCCTTGAAGGTTCATCCCGACAAGAACAAGGCCCCTGGTTCAGAAGAAACGTTCAAAGCTGTGTCGAAGGCGTTTCAGTGCCTAAGCAACGAGGAGACGCGGAAAAAGTACGATATCAGCGGTTCCGATGAATCCGTTTGTGAACCTCGCCGGGCCGCAAGGAGAAACGGGTTCAATGGCTATTACGACGATGAATTCGACGCCGACGAGATTTTCCGAAGCTTCTTCTTCGGCGGAATGCCACCTGCAACTGCCCAATTCGGTACATTCAATTTCGGCGGCGGAATGGGCGGTCACAGAACCGCCAATACCGCATCTGATGCAGGGTTCAATGCCCGTGTTCTTCTTCAGTTCCTTCCTGTTCTGCTTATACTTCTGCTCAGTTTCCTGCCTTCTTCACAGCCAGTTTATTCGCTGTCTGGGTCATACCCTTATGAGTACAAATTCACGACGAGCAGGGGCGTCAATTACTTTGTGAGATCATCCAAGTTCGAGCAGGATTACCCACTTAATAGCCCCGAGCGGCAGAGGGTAGAAGCACAAGTTGAGAGAGATTATTACTCTATAGTGTCTCAGAATTGTCGGTACGAGCTGCAGAGGCAACAATGGGGTTTTATCCGTGAAACCCCACACTGTGACATGTTGCAGAAGTTCGAGACGGCTGCCTCTTAAACCAAGGTCTAATCCACTTTGTCTGTATCTGATTTCATTCCTCCTTGGGCTTATGGCTTGTTTTCTTCTGCAGACTATCTGCTATATTATTCCCCGTTTCTAATCATAGCAGCTTAATTAGTTAATTGTGTGGTGACTAATAAGTTTGGTTTCTGATGTTATATGCCGAAAGCCATGTCTATGTCTCTTCTTTGCAAACTAATGCACTGTGATGTCATCTCTGTTATTTCTTGGACTTGCGTTGTTCTCATATGATATAGAATCTTAAGAGTATGTGAAAAAAATTATATTGGTAGTCGGTATTATATATCGCACCTCATCCCATCATCCATATACCGTGAATATGACGAGATTCTGTTTGATATCTCATCATTGTACCAATTTGTTTGGTTGGATCGCGTGCTAGAATATACCCTTCAGGTATACCATTTAGTTCAGAACCTTTTGGTATCAAAATTTTTATACTTGCTTAAACATATGCTGTTGTTTTCACTATTCCAATATTGTTTGAGAATCGACTCTGCGATTATGCCAACTTCAAACACATATATGTTTACCTTTAACCATTTTCGGCCGTTCTAATTACATTTGTGAACCTTGTTTTGCTATTCATTTTGCAGATTGACATAAGTCTATGATTGTGGAGTATGCTTCGGAAGTACATTAAACTCGAAGAAACTTGGTTGGATCAATGACAGGGACACACATGGCGGAAGAAGGAATTTGCATTGGTAATGTATTTTGAGCTCTTTTATTAACAGTTTGATCAACAAATGCTTTACACTCCTATGTGAAATCTTCTTCTTCCAACCATACCTTGATTACTGCTATTATTTCCTTGTGTGATTAAGTGTTTAGTATAAAATAACAGTTGAATGGTATTTTGTGTGATGTATCTCAACTCTTGGGACTTGAGAGATTTTGCATGCGTGTTTTATTATACGATTGAAATTTGCAGATGACCAGACAAGCGCTCTCTTCGTCACCATTTATGAACTGCTCCGAAAATTCGAATCTGGTTGCTATCATCGCGGTGGCATTGTTGAACGGAAATCCTTTTTCCCCCGTTCAAATCTGGGTCGAGTTCTTGAGTTTTGCAAGGGAAAAGACTCTATTCCCATAAAAGGGTAGAGATCTTGGGTTTTGGGTTTCTTGTTTTGGTGGATCTATCATTCCAGGTATATGTACATTTTTGTTTTTTATTGTGTTTTGTTTCTGTCATTTTCAGGTTTGCTTCTTTCTGTTTTGCAAAAATAATTTTCAGTTGGTTTTTTTTATTCGGTTCGGATCTATTCGAGTCGGTTTTAATATTGTTCATGTCCTAAGAAAATTTTCGGTTTTTATTTGATTTTTTAACGTTCAAAGTTTTGTTAATTTTGGTTTTAGAAAAGTAATATTCAATCGATTTTTAGATCAAATTCATTATCTATTGTTTTTATTCTATTCGATTCTATTTGATTGTCCTAGTAGATGGGCCTTTTATTACTCGGATGCTATGGTTGAACCCAATATATTTTTTTCGGGTAACTGAACATACTGAACCAAGGTCCAGATAATTACTCCAGAGATTGGATTATACGCTCTCTCCCTAAATTTGAGATTCGATTCGGGATAGACAAACGTTTTGCACACTTGTTTTATCGGTTGAACTACCGTGAATCCATGTATGTTGTTTTAGATTAGATGAGTCTCATATAATCATATTATCAAATGTTCTCTATAGACATAAAGAAACTAACAGCAATGTGTAAGAACCATAGTAAAATTGTTTGGTACCATATGCCAAATTTTTTGGTGTTCCTTTCGTTAACTTCAAAGCAAGGGAGACGACATATTAAGTTCAAAAGTTTATGTGATAGATCTTTAAATCTAACAAAAGAATGGGAAATATCCTAAAATATCATATGTTTTATCATAACTATTCAAATTACAATCTACCAAACAAGTTATTAAATTCAACAAACTTAAGAGAGAACATGTATAAATAGATGACATTTTTAAAAATTTCCAAATAATACTTTTATTTGAGCTTTAAATTGTTTTCAAATATAATCGGATTCTATTATAATAATATTGGTGATAAAATTTTTAAATTTTGTTTTAGCATTTATAAGTTTTAGGGTTTAGGGTTTGGAATTTATAAATTAAAAATGGCGAAAATTTGCTATTTAATTACTAATTATTAACAATAGTACATGAACTTGAATTTTCCAATTGGGTCACCACAAAATCAGTGCACAATAATATCATAAAAACAATATCACTAGTTGCAAACTTTATTACAAAAGACCACTATCCAAGGACAGAAAGAAGACAAAAGCTTGGAGAAAGAACGAAAAAAGTCTCGTGGGCTAATCTAAAAAACGATCAAACAAGAAATAATGGTAACAGAACCAAGAAAAGAAAGATGAGGCCGAGCCGAGAAAATAGAGAGCTTGAGGCAGCGCTGTGCAGAGGAGCGGAGGGTGAAGGAGAGAAGGAAGAAGGTGACTTCTCCACGACTTGGGGAGACGTGACTAGGATGTCAAATCTCTGTCCGGCTTGACAGTGACCAGGAGCTCCGCAGACGAAGTAGTAACGACCGGGACGTGTGAGGTTAACCACGTCATAACCGGTTTTGTATCTTGCTATGGTGGAAGAGAGGTCGCAGAACTCGAAAGCTAAAGGACTCGCAACTTCTGTCACGTCATGGAAATCCTTGTTGTACTCGAAGACGAGAGAGTCACCCACTTGGAAGTGTCTTGACGTGACCCATGTGTAATAGTCGACACCCGGTGCCCATCCCTCGACCTTGTGCGTTGTTCCCACGCATCCTACGAAGAGAGAAACGGTCACGAGCGTGAAGAAACTGATGATCGCGGTCTTTGTTATCGCCATTTTGATGCGTAGAACGAGAGATCAAAGCCGAAAACTATCGAAAGGGTTGCTGAAAGTGAGAAACTTTGAAGGACCCATGACGGGTTTATATAGATATTCCATTCCTTTTCCTTTTGGGGTTTTTTGTTTGAATAATATCATCGATTAGATTAAGTTTCCTTTTTTTTGGGGCTCTGTGTTTCCTTCTTCTTTTTTATTTTCAATTTTTTCTTCGAATATATTAATACGTATAAGTCGATCTATACGCGTCTGATTAGGGTTAAAAATATAGGATATGTTTAGCGGCAGGTCAATACAAAATTTCCGAAAACCTAGCGTCTGATTAATACGTATAACCCTTTTACCGTGCATCGTGTTTCTTTTTTTTTTTTAATGGAAAATTCTTTAACGCGCAAAGGTAGAATTCATGCACGTGTCTAGAATTAAAACAAAGTAACCCGGACTTATAATGAATCAAAAAAAATTGAAAAATAAAAATATATCTATTAAGGTGGTTTATGTAGGGAATCTAGAAAAAATCTCAAAATTTGATTTTATTGAAAAGATAACAACCTTAGAAATAAAAGGTAAAGGCAATCAAGAACTAACAACCTTGAAGTTAAAAGATAAAGATAAATAAACAATAAGGTGATGATAAATCTGAATAGATATGGACGTGTATATATAAAAGAAGTATGAAGGCTGAGAAATACAGAGTTTAAAAGAAAAAAAAAATCGTTGAAAAAAAAGTGCAAGCGTTGGTGAAAGTTTATGTTTTCTATAAGTAAGATATATATATATATATATGAGAGGAAATTCAGTAAAATCCGACGTAACGAACCTTGGATATGAAAGTTTAGGGATTCACACGGGTTCTTTGGTGAATTGATAGAATTCATATTGTAGGAGGCTAACACTTATGGAAAATGTGGTGCGCATTGCTATTTCAAAAGAAACAAGTTGTAGTTGTGAAATTCCTATAAATGAATAGAATCGATTGAGTGACATTTGAGTGCATCAGTTATTTCAAGTGGTATCAGAGTCCGATCACCGGTCATAAGATAATTTCCTCTCGTATCAGTGCAGGCTACGTGACGTATAATGCATACATTCAAGGAATTTCAGACGCCAGGGAAGACACCATCGTTCGACTCGAGCAACTATAGATATTGAAAAATGAAGATAATAAATCTGATCAAAAGCATTGATAAAGATGCTTGGAATGTTATGGAAGAAGAATAAGAGTTTTCAAAAGTGATCACAGATTGGAAGAAGATCATCAAACCGAGTGCTTAATGGACACTGCAAGAGAAGCAAGCTTCAGCACTAAATGTCAAAGCTCTTACTATAATCTTCAACACAATAGATCCATATGAGTTTAAGCCAATTTCCAAGGTTGCAAAATTGCCAAGGAGACGTGAAAAACACTAGAGTTGATTCATGAAGGAACTAAAACTGTTCAACACACCAGAAGAGACATATTGAATGCGCAATTTAGTCAAAACAAAATGGGAGAACATGAAACCATCAATACTACAAAAGAAACCTTCATGTAACGACGAAACTTGAGACAGAATTTTCCTTCGCACACAAAATTGCAATGGAATACGACGATTTCGCGACGAAATACGGTAAAAAAATTGGCTCTGTGAACAGTCGCAAAATTCGTCTTTAATTTGCGACGGAATACGATGAAATTATTGCTGTCACATCAATTACGATGGAAATTTTAATATTTGCGACGGAATACGATGAAAATTTCTGTAGCAAATATTAATTTTATTTCTTTTTAATTTATTTTAATTTATTTTCAGAATTTACGACGGGTCTATTACAGTCGATTTTTATATCAGTTTTTTATTCGTTTCTGATCTATTTCAATATTGTTCACGTTCCAAGAAAATTTTCCATTTCTATTTGATTTTTTGAAGTTCAAAGTTTTGTTAATTTTAAATCTAACAAAACGATGGGAAATATCCTAAAACACCATATTTTAGCATTGCTATTCAAATTACAATCTACTAAATGATAGTGGTCTCGATCAGAAGCGAAGAACAACACAAGATTTCTACAAAAATATTTTCTATTTTTTTTAACATGATAGTTTAATCTTTAAGTAGACAAAGATGAAAGCAAATCACTTTAGTGGATCCTAGATATATGAAAACAAAACGTAATGGAGATATAACTCCTACAAGAAAGGAAGACTAATTCTCCCATGTTTTATTCAAGCAAATAACCGCTAACGGCCGGTTCGCATCAATACTCTTTCTGTCGAGAAGAACCTTGCCCACAAGGTTCATATGTGGAAAATAGATTCATATTCATTTCCTTCGATCGAATGGAGAAGCAATATGTGCCGCTGAAAGAGAATCAACGAGGCGAGTGAGAGATCTTTCTAGTGCACGGAATTGTTCTGTCATGGACGTCTGCACTTGGGCAAATTCACTCTGCACTGTCGAAAATTTTGTTTCCAGAAATTCGATGTGTTCCTTGTTGGTCGTCATTGTGATACCACGTGTTATGGTCCGGATCGTGAATGGTAGAAAATAAAGGGTCGACAATCCATATTCCAAATTGTCAATGACCTCTTGGTTGTTAACATGGTACCACCAAGTGAAAAAAACTATTCTCCAAATTGTCAATGACCTCTTGGTTGTCCGGATCAACGATAATGAAAAAAACTAATAAAGAAAAAGATAGGCTCTGATACCAATGATAGTGGTCCCAATCAAAAGCGAAGAACAACACAAGATTTCTACAAAAATATTCTCTACTTTTTTGTAGGGTATACAATGGGTTCGAGCCGGGGGGCTGGCTCATATTTCTCCGAGCTGGGCTTAGAATAATTGAGATAGAAAAAAACGGGCCACACGAGTCGGTCCGTCACGGGCCGAGCTCGTGGCGAAATTATTTTAAATATTTTTTAAATATTAAAATTATTTTAAATATTTTTTAAATATTAAAATTATTTTAAATATTTTTTAAATATTAAAATTATTTTAAATATTTTTTAAATATTAAAATTATTTTAAATATTTTTTAAATATTAAAATTATTTTAAATATTTTTTAAATATTAAAATTATTTTAAATATCTTTTAAATATTAAAATTATTTTAAATATTTTTTAGTATTTAAATTTTATTTTTAAAATTAAATATTTGGCTCGCGGGCCGGCTCACTTGGCTCGGGGGCTAAAGCGATTTGGGGTGGATTGGTCTATTTTGGCTTGGGACAAATCGGGCTGGGATGGGTCGGGCCAACCCGTTTTACATCCCTACTTTTTTAACATGATAGTTTAATTTTTAAATAGAAAAGATGAAAATTTAGCAGGTCCTAGATATATGGAAACAAAACGTAATAGAGATATAACTCCTACAAGAAAAGAACATACAAAATGGATTGGGGTTAAAGAATGATTCATAGTGAACTCCGATGGGAACTTTCCCCCGGGAAAGATGCCTAATATTTATATACACAACTGTCATTGTTCACACATCGCATCCCCCCGTTAAGTAGTCATGCATTACGATACAGGGATTTCAAGAATTGGGTTCCAACCCTTAATCCGCTTTTCTAACTAATTCTCCCATGTTTTATTCAACGCAAATAACCACTAAGCGGCCGGTCCGCATCAATACTCCTTCCGTCGAGAAGAACCTTGCCCACAAGGTTCAGATGTGGAAAATTGATGGGTATTTGTTTCCCTCGATCGAATGGAGAAGCGATATGTGCCGCTGAAAGAGAATCAACAAGGCGAGTGAGAGATGTTTCTAGTGCTTTGCTCTGTCATGGATGTCTGCACGTAGACGAATTCACTCTGCAATGTCGAAAGTTCTGTTTCCAGAAATTCGATGCTTTCCTTGTCGGTCGCCATTATGATAACACGTGTTCTGGTCCGGATCGTGAATGGCAGAAAATAAAGTGTCGACAATCCAGATTCCAGATTGTCAATGACCTCTTGGTTGTAATCATGATACCACCGAGTGGTCCGGATCAACGATAATGAAAAGAACAAAAAAAGAAAAAGATAGGCTCTGATACCAATGATAGTGGTCCCAATCAAAAGCGAAGAACAACACAAGTTTTCTACAAAAGTATTCTCAACTTTTTTGTAGGGGTGTAAAATGGGTTCGGATCCGCGGGTTGGCTCGCGAACCAGCCCATATGTAATATCCCGGTTCCCGAAAAAAAATATTTAATTATTTTCGAGAATAAATAATTAAATAAATGCCGCTAATAATTCGGAAAAGAGGATTGGTCCGGGGCTGACCAGAATGGGCGGACCTGAGGAAGGAAAATGCGGACTGGGAGGAGGTCTGGTCCGGAGCTGACCAACTATTGGTCAGCCGGACCAGGACACTCAGTCGGATCAAACGGAAGGAACGGACCAAGAAAAGAAATAAAAATGGGAAAAACTGAGTTGGTCAGCTCCGGACCAACTCAGTCAGCCGGACTTGGACAGGACGGACGGACCAAGAGGAAAATGAGTGTAGTCCGGACTTGGTCAGCCGGACCAAAATCTGGTCAGCCCCGGACCAAGTGATAGATAAACTGTCGGCAGACTTATGGTGCGCGATTTTCTCACACATGGGGGCCACAACACACCTAATCCGCACCAAACCGACAAAAGGAGACCCCAACTATCTCCTACACTTGTCCAATCACCCCAAAACTCTCTCATCTACCTTAAAGACCCTCTCAAACAGATCAAATCAACCATTTTCAGACTGAAAATGGGCAAAGAAAGAAAAGAGAGGAAAAAAAGAGAGAGGGAGAGAAAGAAGAGAGGAGGAGGAAGAGGGAGTTCGGGAAGACATTGAGGAATAACCCTTGAGTGTCTAGGAGGAGATCAACGATAATGCGGAGGATCACAGAAACATCAACCATGCTCGACCAGATCAGATTCAAAATGAATCTGATCCAAGAACAGGTGAGTGGCTTGAGTTACGTCTGTGTAAACTCGTTTTCATCGATGTGATTGTATTATCTCGATGATTCGTTCAATGAGAATTTAGAAACAAACGACACTCAATTTGGCTGAGAAACGAAGGAGATATGAACAAACGAAAATTGTGGAAAAATTAAAATTTGCAGAATCGCGATTTTTCGAGGTACAGGCGTTACGGATCATTTTTCATCACGTATACATGAGATTTAAATAATTTATTGCTTAGATATGAAAAAGGACATCCCAATGAACATTTAGAAACAAACGGTGCGTGATTTGGTTAAGAAATGAGTGAGTTATGAGCAATCGAAGTCGGACCAAAAACTTGAAAACGCGAACGGACGAACTGCCCAAAAAATGGTCCGATCAACCGATTTCGTGGGGACGGGCCGGATCCGATCCGCTGGACTAAATACTGGTCTGGACCAGACCAAACCTAAGAGGAAAGAGAAGATAAAAATTGTAAATTTTAGGGAGAGAAAGGGAGTTTGAGGGAGGAAGATTTCTCTACGGCAAGTATAATGCCGAGAGACAGGAACCAAGATTGCAGAAAAGAATGTTCTATTTCTTTCTTGTTATTAGATGAAGAAGAAGTTACAGATTAAATACACAAAGAAAGGTTTGTACAAAATGGAAACTAAGATATTGCTAAATATATACAAAAGGAAACAAGAATGTGCAGAGAGATATGTTGTCGTTGAGTCGACAATCTCATCACCGTAATCAAGCTTAACATATTGGTCAGCTTGAGTTGGGGAAACTTTGCATATCTGAGTCGCCTTCAATATCCGAGTCACTATTATCTTCTACACCCCCCTCAAGCTTGGCTTGTAGATATCAACAAGACCAAGCTTGGATAGATTAGTTTCGTGGGTCTTGACGTTAGGAGCTTTGGTGAATAAGTCAGCTAGTTGATCGTCACTTCTCGTGTACGGAGTAGAAATGATGCCTTGCGTAACTTTCTCACGGACAAAGTGGCAATCAATCTCGATGTGTTTGGTCCTTTCATGGAACACCAGATTTGCGGCAATGTGTATGGCCGCTTGGTTGTAACAGTGAAGCGGAATAGGTTGATCTGAGTGAATTCCGATATCGCCAAGCAGAGCTTTAAGCCAAATAAGTTCACTTGCAGCGGTGGCCATTGCACGATATTCAGCCTCGACACTTGATCTAGCAACCACGTTTTGCTTCTTGCTTTTCCAAGTGGCCAGGTTTCCGCCAATGAAGGAGCAATACCCTGATGTTGATTTCCTATCATTTTGATCGCCTGCCCAATCAGCATCGCAATATCCAACGATGTTAGTACGGTTGTTGCGGTTCATCCATACGCCCTTTCCCGGAGATCCCTTGAGATACTTGAGAATGCGTTCCACCATCATCCAATGTCGTTGACAAGGAGCATGCATGAATTGGCTGACCTGCCCAACCGCAAACGATAAGTCAGGTCGCGTAATAGTTAAGTATATGAGTTTACCTACAATTCTCCGATAGCGTTCGGAGTCTTCGAGTGTTCCCCCCTCTGGTAGATACTTGTAACCTACTTCAATTGGAGTCTTCACGGGCTTGGCTCCAAGTTTACCTGCACTTCTCAACAAATCAAGTGTGTACTTTCTTTGGGATAGAAATAAACCGTCTTGAGATCGAGATACCTCTATACCAAGAAAGTACCTTAGCTCTCCCAATTCTTTAATGTCAAAAGAATGATGTAAAACCTGCTTGGTTTGTTCTATACCAATTCGATCGTCTCCTGTAATAATTATGTCGTCGACATATACTAATATTACAATGATACCTCGTTCGGTTTGTGACGTGAAGAGAGAGTGATTGCTTTCGCTCCGCTTGAACGTGTGGTTCGTTAGAGCAGTGTGAAGTTTGGCATACCATTATCGCGGTGATTGTTTGAGGCCATAGATAGCCCGGTTGAGTTTGCAGACTTTGTTGTCCCCTTTGGAGTGATGTAATCCAGGAGGTAAACGCATATATATTTCTTCCTCGAGATCCCCTTGGAGGAAAGCGTTTTTGACGTCCATCTGCCAAAGCTCCCAACCTAGGTTAGTTGCAATTGAAAGAATAACTCTTACCATGGGTAGCTTAGCCACAGGAGCGAATGTGTCATTGTAATCCTAGGTTTGAGTGTAGCCTTTGGCGACTAGCCGAGCTTTGTGACGTTCTATGTCGCCATTGCTTTGATATTTAATCCACCTACAATCGATAGCTTGTTTGTGTTGTGGAAAGGAACGATGTCCCACGTCCCATTTTTCTGTAAAGCCGAGATTTCTTCTTCCATGGCCTTACGCCATACTTCCTGTTTGTTGGCTTCTTCAAACGTCTGGGGCTCAATTCCCTGATCTATCTTACTCAAGAAACACTGATGAGTAAGTGGTAAATGACTAAGAGAACAGAATTGTTGAATAGGATGAGTTACCATATTAGCACTATCCCTTAGTTTGAACGATGGCTTCCTCTGTCTAGTACTTCGGCGCAAAGGGATGACAGGAGGTCTAGGGATTATGATACCTCTCCTCAGATTGGGAGACCTTGGTTCATCGTCAGGCTCAGAAGATTGATGCGGTTGTGCCTCAACCTCCCTGTTTTCGAAATTAAGATTGTCAGCTGGAATAGGAAACACAGGTGCCTCAGTGATACCTGGTTCTGGTACAGGTTCTTGAGTCCGATGGTCATCTGTCTGATGGAAGCTTTGACTCTCATCGTTATGAAGAAGAACTTTCAGAGTCTGTGAATAATCTGGAACGGTTTCAGATTCAACTTCAAGACTCGTCCATCCTTTCTTATCAAAGTAGCTAAGTTCTTCCAGAAACTTCACATCCCTTGAAATAAATAATCTTCGAGTTTCAGGTTGATAACATTTGTAGCCTTTCTGTCTTGTGGAAATATATGAGGAATACACACTTTAAGCTCTTCGAATCCAATTTGCTTCTTTGGCTTTCTGAAACAAGAACATAACAAAGGCACCCAAAAGTCTTTAGGAAATCAAGAGAAGGTCGTGTCTTATTCAATACCTCGAATGGAGACTGATCCTGCAGAATTCTGGTAGGCAATCTGTTTATGAGGAAGTTAAGCAGTCATCACTGCATCACACCAGAATCTTTTGGGAATTGTCGATGAAACATCAGGGTCCTAGCCACTTCCAGGAGATGTCTTCCTCTCTGCCACCCCATTTTGTTGAGGAGTGTAGGCACAAGATGACTGATGTTCTATCCCATGCTGTGAGAAATATGCAGAGAACCGAGAGTTTACATACTCTCCACCATTATCTGAGCGAAGACATTTCAGATTGGCATTGTACTGCGTTTTAATATAGCTATGGAACCTGACAAATGCATCAAACACATCTCCCTCTGACTTAAGCATAGTGAGCCAAGTATATTTTGATTTTTCATCAATGAAACTAACAAAGTATCTATAATTTTTTCTAGAAGAACATGGGGCTGTCCACACATCAGAATGTACCAAGTCAAAACAGTTTTCATAAATAGTTTTCGAAATGGGAAAGACTGCATGACAATGCCTGCCCAAAATGCAGGCTTCACAGTTTTTATGATAAAAAACAATATGAGGAAACAATATTTTTAAAGCTTGAGAATGAGGATGACCTAATCTATCATGCCAAATGGAGTTGAGAGCTATTTCAGCAGGTTTGGAGTTCATCTCGAGAAGATACAATCCATTTGCTGTTCTTCCCTGAGCAATGATCCTTCCAGTCTTAATATCCTGAAACTTAACACCATTAGGACCAAAAATAGCATTGCAATCGAGATCTCTAGCTACTTTATAAACTGACAAGAGGTTGTTTGTGAAATCAGGAACATAAAGAGCATCAGTTTCTTTTGCACAAAGAGTCAATTTTCCAGTTCCTTTGATAGGTATGGTCTGACCATTAGCAATTGAAACCGAGCCATGAGTATGTTTAATATCAGACAACAGATTTGGATTATAGATCATGTGGCTTGTCGCCCCTGAATCAATAATCAGATCACTCTCAGCAAAGGAGGTTAGAGCTACATTACCAAGATCTTTGGATGCAATCATCTTGGAAATATTTGAGGTGAAGTGTTGCATCATCGCTTCCAGGTCCATCTTAGTGACATATTCACCAGATGTAGTTTTCGGGGAGTTGTCGATGGTGATTAGCCCTTCTTCGCGAGCTTCAATGACACTGTCTCCTGCTAACCTGGCACTTTTAAACGAAGATTTTGTGTTTGCATACCTTTGAGGTTTGAGATGTGGGTGTAGTTGCCAGCACTTGTCCTTTAGGTGACCTTTGTGTTTGCAATACTCACAAAAATGAGATTTTCGATCGTTGTTTGATCGGAATTGGCCAGCTTTATAAGCAGACTCATCTGGTAATACTCTGGCTTTATGAACAATTTCGCTTGTACCAGAAAACAAGCTCTTTCCCCCTTCCTCCTCCTTAATGCGAGCACAAATCTCGTTAAAGGTGGGCAAGGTAGGTTCACGCAGGATGGATTGAATCAGATCTTTGTAGGACCCATTCAGAGAAAAAAGCAGAGCAAAGATTTTGTCTTGCTCATGATGTGCAAGCTCTGTTTGGTCTGTTGGTGGCTGCCTGAGTTCTCGAAACTCTGACCAGAATGCTGTGAATTCTCCAAGGTGAATCTGGAATGATTTCTCTTCCTGTCGAAGTGAGGAAATCTTGCTTTTAACCTCGTATATGCGGTTGATGTTGGAGACATTCCCAAACACTTCCTTCAGAGTATCCCAAAGCAGTTTCGCCGATTCAATGTGATTAAAGGATGTCAAAATTGAGGTTTCAAACGAACTCTGCAACACAGTGACTACAATGTGGTCTTCTTGGAGCCACTTGGAGTCAGCCTCAGAGATCGTAGCCTCAGGTGTGTCATCCAGATTTTTGGTTGTGGTGACATGGTCCCACCATCCCTTGCTCTTGAGAAACATTCGAGCAGATCTGGACCAACTCAGATAGTTGTCCCCATAGAGGGTGACTGGAATAATTTTAACAACAGAGTTTTCCATTTATCTAAAGAAGAAAAGATAGCAGCGGAATAGTGAGTAAAAAAAAAAATTCGGTCTCCGACCCTGAGAGGCTCTGATACCATGTAAATTTCAGGGAGAGAAGGAAGTTTGAGGGAGGAAGATTTCTCTACGGCAAGTATAATGCTGAGAGACAGGAACCAAGATTGCAGAAAAAAATGTTCTGTTTCTTTCTTGTTATTAGATGAAGAAGAATTTACAGATTAAATACACAAAGAAAGGTTTGTACAAAATGGAAACTAAGATATTGCTAAATATATACAAAAGGAAACAAGAATGTGCAGAGAGATATGTTGCCGTTGAGTCGACAATCTCATCACCGTAATCAAGCTTAACATATTGGTCAGCTTGAATTGGGGAAACTTTGCATATCTGACTCGCCTTCAATATCCGAGTCACTAATATCTTCTACAAAAATGAACAAAATGAATGAATACGCGTGGTGAGACGTGAGAAATAAATACTGCGAGTGAATCATTGTGTGCTTATTTTTGGGTAGCATTGCATGGCGTGAAACGGTAAGACGGTGTGAGGCCGAATACCGTGATACGCGTGATTGTAGCCGGGGGATGATGATGCATGTTGAATGCTATGGTTGAAACTCACTCGTGCAATGCGAGGGGAGCATGATTGTGATTGTGATATAGTCGCATTCGATGCGACGCCCAACGTCATGCGATGTGACGAGTGTGAGAGGCGCTCCTAGTCATGCGATGGACTAGGGTTTATGGCTAACCCTAAGGTGCGAAGCCATACGGGATTTGATTGTCGCGCGAAGCGACGGCCAACGTCATGAGATGTGACGGGCGTGAGAGGCGCTCCTAGTCATGCGATGTGACTAGGGTTTATGGCTAACCCTATGGTGCGAAGCCATACGAGATTTGATTGTCGCGCGAAGGACGGCCAACATCATGAGATGTGACGGGCGTGAGAGGAGCTCCTAGTCATGAGATGTGACTAGGGTTTACGGCTGACTCTATGGTGCGAAGCCATACCTACTTGATTGTCGTGCGATGCGATGGTCAACGTCATGCGATGTGACGGGCGTGTGAGGCGCTCCTGGTCATGAGATGTGACCAGGGTTCACGGCTAACACTATGGCGTGAAGCCATACGGGAATGAATATGATGATGTTCTGATGTGATATGAGTATATGTTTAATGTTGAATATTATATTTTATGTTTTATCGTTTTAACACAGTTCTCCCTGAGAACGGGTTTACCGGGTTCAACCCGGCTACTCACTAAACGGTTATGCTTAGCCCTCGTGGTTTCATCTTTTTCAGATCACGAGGAGTACATGTAGCATATCTAGACAACGATGAAGACTAGAGAGAGGCAGCATCACGTACGGATTTGATTTGTGTTAATTTTTTAAAACGATGTTTTTCTTGCGTTGTATTTTAAGATTGGACGTGTGGTAATTAAAGGTTGTATTAAACTATTTCGCTGCGTGTTTATAAAATAAAAGTTTTAAATTCCCGTATTGTTGTTTCGTAATATTTTATTGTTTATTAGTCCATGTGGCGCATCTTGTGACGGGAATCGGGATACGAGTGTCACACCATATTTCTTCGGGCTGGGCTGAGAATAATTGAGCTAGGAAAAAAACGGGCTACACGAGCCGGCCCGTCATGGGCCATCTCATGGCGAGTCAACCCGTCACAGGCCGAGCTCATGGCGAGCCCGCCTGTTATTTTGTTCTGTTTAAAATTTTTAAATAGAAACAAAACGTAATAGAGATATAACAACCCGTTTTATACCCCTACTTTTTTAACATGATAGTTTAATTTTTAAATAGAAAAGATGAAAGAAAATTATTTTAGTGGGTCCTAGATATATGGAGACAAAACGTAATAGAGATATAACTCCTACAAGAAAAGAAGACTAATTCTCTCATGTTTTGTTCAACGCAAATAACCGCTAAGCGGCCGTTCCGCATCAATACTTCTTCCGTCGAGAAGAACCTTATCCACAAGGTTCAGATGTGAAAAATTAATGTGTATCTGTTTCCCTCATCGAATGGAGAAGTGATATGTGCCACTGAAAGAGAATCAACGAGGCGAGTGAGAGATGTTTTTAGTGCACGAAATTGCTCTGTCATGGCCGTCTGCACTTGGGCGAATTCACTCTGCAATGCCAAAAATTCTGTTTCCATATAAATTCGATGCGTTCCTTGTGGGTCGCCATTATCATACCACGTGTTGTGGTCCGGATCGTGAATGGTAGAAAATAAAAGATCGACAATCCAGATTCCAGATTGTGATTGATGTCTTGGTTTTCATCATGATACCACTGAGTGGTCCGGATCAACGATAAAGAAAAAACAAAGAAATAGAAAGATAAATAAATAAAATGTAATGGAGATATCCTACAAGAAAGGAAGATTAATTCTCTCGCATTTTATTCAACACAAATAACCGTTAAACACAAACAAGTTATTAAGTTTAACGAAATTTAAGAGAGAACATGTATAAATAGATAGCATTTTTAAAAAATTCCCAAATAATACTTTTATTTGAAATCTTAATTGTTTTCGAATATAATCGGATTCTATTATAATAATATTGGTGTTAAATTTTTTTAAAGAATTTAGCATTTATAAGTTTTACGGTTAGGGTTTGGAATTTATAAATTAAAATGGTTAAAATTTGGTATTTAATTACTAATTATTAACAATAGAAACTTAAGGTGTTGTAGCCTTCTATAATGTTGTAAGTTTAGAGCTCCGTTGAAAGGGTACAATGCCTTTTATTTTTGTTTATTGGTAGTACATGACATTTTTAAAATTTTCCAAATAATACTTTTATTTGAGCTTTAAATTGTTTTCAAATATAATCAGATTCTATTATAATAATATTGGTGATAATTGAATAGGAAAAGAAAGATGAGGCCGAGCCGAGAAAATAGAGAGCTTGAGGCAGCGCTGTGCAGAGGAGCGGAGGGTGAAGGAGAGAAGGAAGAAGGTGACTTCTCCACGACTTGGGGAGACGTGACTAGGATGTCAAATCTCTGTCCGGCTTGACAGTGACCAGGAGCTCCGCAGACGTAGTAGTAACGACCAGGACGTGTGAGGTTAACCACGTCATAACCGGTTTTGTATCTTGCTATGGTGGAAGAGAGGTCGCAGAACTCGAAAGCTAAAGGACTCGCAACTTCTGTCACGTCATGGAAATCCTTGTTGTACTCGAAGACGAGAGAGTCACCCACTTGGAAGTGTCTTGACGTGACCCATGTGTAATAGTCGACACCCGGTGCCCATCCCTCGATCTTGTGCGTTGTTCCCACGCATCCTACGAAGAGAGAAACGGTCACGAGCATGAAGAAACTGATGATCGCGTTCTTTGTTATCGCCATTTTGATGCGTAGAACGAGAGGTCAAAGTCGAAAACTATCGAAAGGGTTGCTGAAAGTGAGAAACTTTGAAGGACCCATGACGGGTTTATATAGATATTCCATTCCTTTTTCTTTTGGGGTTTTTTGTTTGAATAATATCATCGATTAGATTAAATTTCCTTTTTTTTGGGCTCTGTGTTTCCTTCTTCTTTTTTATTTTCATTTTTTTCTTCGCATATATTAACACGTATAAGTCGTCCATGTGGCGCTACCTGTGACGGGAATTGGGATACGAGTGTCACAACTTTTGGTATCAGAGCAATGTTCATTCCACGGGAAATGACGACTCATTACCTTAAGGTTTTTCAATGAAAAATATTTTTCAAAACCACGTCCAATGAAAAATCGTTTATGAAAACCGTACAAGTGATGCGAGCTGCAGTCGTCGAAAGCTTAGTGAGAGTAACATGGCGCATTGGGAATGCCGCCATGATATGCTTAGCTGGAAAATAATAATTTCCGCATTTAAGTTGAACGCCTAACCCAAGGGACCAGAATCAAGGAATTAATCCTGAATTCCTTAAGGGGCCATGGGGCAGTGCCTAAAGGAACATACACCAACTCTACGAAGTGGGACGTATAGGACAAAGGGGGGAGGATCTGGCGTCGTCTACCAACTACGTGGCTTTGACAGGGGACCCCTTCACATTAACATAAAAGACCGAAAGTGATCAGAATAAAGGAAAGGATGCATCGATGAATAAAAATATGTCTAGACTCAAAGTAAACACTGCGAGTGTAGATACACCATGTGGACTCAAAGTAAACACTGCGAATCGGGATACGTTTTCATGTACTAATATGCTAAACGAGTTACGTAAAGGACATGAAGGCTAGAAAAAGACCCATTGTTCATAGGACACGTGGTCTTAACCTAAAGCACTCCATTGGATCTCACCAAAATAATTGAGGCTAGGGATTGGAATCTCAAACATGCAACAAAGTTCAGACGGACTATCGAGGGTAAGGATAACCCTAGAATTGGAAAGGAAAAGTCGACTCCAGCACCAATCATATGGTGACCACACTGGGAGCACAATGCAAAAGCTTATATCGACGTATTTCGCAGAGTCTAGATGGTGCGCGAAGACCAGAAAGACACGTCATTATCTATGCGTGTGACTAGTAGAAAAGAATTCTCCGACCCTTGGCATGAACTCACAACGACAGCTGTGTATCGGAAATCGGGAAAGGTAACCTGAGAAATCACTCAAAAAGGGGTGTAAACATAATGTAACAACAATGAACGGGGAGCATTATTGACCGCAATGTAGAAATCATCTACTCCCAGGAAAAACACAGCGTGATGGTAAAGGTGCTAAGCCCCAGGAAAGGCTCTTAGCAGATTATGGGATAAGACATGACCATGATAAAAACATTGTGGACGAAACTCAGGATGAGAAATACATATCACACCCAGACCGATGGTGAATCGAAGCAAACAATCCAAACTTCAGGAGACAAACTGAAGGCGTGTCTTCGAATGGAGAGTTCCATGGGACCTATACATTGTTGTGCGAGGTCACATGCAACAACAAACAATATATAAAGGACGGGATGTCCGTATATAAGTATTAAGTGGGAAGTCATGCGAGGTTCCACTGTTTTGGATAAAAAGCGGAGAACGTCGAGTGTTCGGATCGGAAAAATCATTTACGAAGCAAACACAAGTGATCCAAAAGATTCGCGATAACCTGAAAACGGCGTAGAATCGATAGAAGTCGTATGCCGATCAGAGAAGACGAGAGTTCGGACCCGATATCGTGGAATAGACCATGGAGGTGATCCGAAGGATTCGCACTAACCTGAAGATGACAGAGGATCGACAGAAGTCTTATGCCGATGAGCGGAGACGTGAGGTCGCCTTGGAGGTTGGAGATCTGGCTCTCCCCCGAGTTTAGGCCATGCGGGAGCATGCAAGATTTTGACAAAGCGGGAAGCTGAAACCGTTGTACATCAGACCTTACCGATGATTGAGAAGGTACGACCAACAACCTAACATTTTGGACGACCATCGAAACTAGACAACATCCATGACGTGTTCCACGTGTCGATGCTGCGGAGGTACGTAACGGATCCTTCACAGTACTACAACCACAAGAGTTGAAGTTCATAGACACTATGCGATTCCTGGCGAGCTTCTGCAAATCGTGGATCAAAAGGTCAAGAAGGTACGAACGAAGGAAGTGCCACTGGTGAAGGTTTCGTTGGCGGAGCCAAGGGTTCTTGGACATGATCTGGGAACTCGAGGCGGAGATGCGTAGCAAATTAGCCATATCTCTTTGCTTGAGTGTTGTATGAGTTATACATGACAATTTGTTGTATCAGACTCTACATTTTGGATGGCTATGTGATGATATGAATGTGATGATGATTGGAGCATATCCCACGGATTCCGAATTCGAGGACGAATTCTTTTTAAGGGGAGGATTTGTAATACCCCGATTCCCGAAGAAAAATATTTAATTATTTTCGAGAATAAATAATTAAATAAATGCCGCTAATAATTCGGGAAAGAGGATTGGTTCAGAGCTGACCAGAGTCAGTCAACCGGACCAGATCCGTTCCAAGGGAAAGAACGGGCGGACCTGAGGAAGGAAAATGCGGTCTGGGAGGAGGTCTGGTCCGGAGCTGACCAACTATTGGTCAGCCGGTCCAGGACACTCAGTCGGATCAAACGGATGGAACGAACCAAGAAAAGAAATAAAAATGGGAAAAACTGAGTTGGTCAGCTCCAGACCAACTCAGTCAGCCGGACTTGGACAGGACGGACGGACCAAGAGAAAAATGAGTGTAGTCCGGACTTGGTCAGCCAGACCAAAATCTGGTCAGCTCCGAACCAAGCGACAGACAAACTGTCGATAGACTTTTGGTGTGGGACCAAAATCTGGTCAGTCCCCGGACCAAGTGACAGATAAACTGTCGGCAGACTTATGGTGCGCGATTTTCTCACACATGGGCGCCCACAACACACCTAATCCGCACCAAACTGACAAAAGGAGACCGCAGCTATCTCCTACACTCGTTCAATCAAACCAAAACTCTCTCATCTACCCTAAAGACCCTCTTAAACGGATCAAATCAACCATTTTCGGACTCAAAATGGGCAGAGAAAGAAAAGAGAGGAAAAAGAGAGAGAGGGAGAGAAAGAAGAGAGGAGGAGGAAGAGGGAGCTCGGGAAGACATTGAGGAACAACCCTTGAGTGTCTAGGAGGAGATCTCAAGGCGGAGGAACACATAAACATCAACCAAGCTCGACCAAATCAGATTCAAAATGAATCTGATCCAAGAACAGGTGAGTGGCTTGAGTTGCGTCTGTGTAAACTCGTTTTCACCGATGTGATTGTGTTATCTCGATGATTTGTTGATTGATTTTGAAAGAGGACATTTTAATGAGAATTTAGAAACAAACGGCGCTCAATTTGGCTGAGAAACGAAGGAGATATGAACATACGAAAACTGTGGAAAAACTTAAATTTGCAGAATCGCGATTTTTCGAGGTACAGGCGTTAAGAATCGTTTTTCATCGTGTATACATGAGATTTAAATAATTGATTCCTTGGATATGAAAAAGGACATCCCAATAAACATTTAGAAACAAACGGAGCGTGATTTAGTTAAGAAACAAGTGAGTTATGAGCAATCGAAGTCGGGCCAAAAACCTGAAAACGCGAATGGACGAACTGCCTAGTCCGGTCCGCCGGATCAGGAACTGGTCAGCTCCGGACCAAGTATGGGAAAATAATTTTAGTCTGTCAGACCAAGGGGAAGAGGCTGAGGAAGCCTGGTCCGACCCGGATCAGAAACTAGTCCGGCGGACCAGGCCTGTTTTGGACCAAAAAATGGTCCGATCAACCGATTTCGTGGGGATGGGCCGGATCCGGTTGGCCGGACTAGGAAACTCAGTCGGATCAAACAGGAAGAAACGGACTAAGAAAAGAAATAAAAATGGAAAAAAGTGAGTTGGTCAGCCGGACCAAGTCTTGGTCAGCTCCAGACCAACATAGTCAGCCGGACTTGGACAGGACGGACGGACCAAGAGGAAAATGAGTGTAGTCCGGACCTGGTCAGCCGGACCAAAATCTGGTTAGCCCCGGACCAAGTAACAGAAACTGTCGGTAGACTTATGGTGCACGATTTTCTCACACATGGGCGGCCACAACACACCTAATCTGCACCAAGCCGACAAAAGGAGACCCCACTATCTCCTACACTCGTCCAATCACCCCAAAACTCTCTCATCTACCCTAAAGACCCTCTCAAACAGATCAAATCAACCATTTTCGGACTGAAAATGGGCAGAGAAAGAAAAGAGAGGAAAAAGAGAGAGAGGGAGAGAAAGAAGAGAGGAGGAGGGAGAGGGAGCTCGGGAAGACATTGATTAACCCTTGAGTGTCTAGGAGGAGATCTCAAGGCGGAGGAACACAAACACATCAACCAAACTCGACCAAATCAGATTCAAAATGAATCTGATCCAAGAACAGGTGAGTGGCTTTAGTTGCGTCTGTGTAAACTCGTTTTCATCGATGTAATTGTGTTATCTCGATGATTCGTTGATTGATTTTGAAAGAGGACATTTCAATGAGAATTTAGAAAAAAACGACGCTCAATTTGGCTGAGAAACGAAGGAGATATGAACATACGAAAACTGTGGAAAAACTGAAATTTGCAGAATCGCGATTTTTGAGGTACAGGCGTTACGTCATCGTGTATACATGAGATTTAAATGAACATTTAGAAACAAACGGTGTGCGATTTGTTAAGAAACGAGTGAGTTATGAGCAATCGAAGTCGGACCAAAAACCTAAAAATGCGAACGGACGAACTGTCCAGTTCCGGTCCGCCAGACCAGGAACTGGTCAGCTTCGGACCAAGTCCGGGAAAATATTTTTAGTCCGCCGGACCAAGGGGAAGAGGCTGAGGAAGCCTGGTCTGACCCGGACCTGAAACTAGTCCGACGA